TTTCTCAGCGACTCCCCTCTCCCGCCTGACCTGGCTCTCTTCCCGTGCCACCACCCTCAGCCCCGTGCCACCACCCTCGGCTTCAGCTTACAGAGCAGTGCTGAGCTTCCCTCTGGCTGCAGACCCCTGTGCCAGCCGCCCACCCCCGGCCGCCCCACTGGGGCGCACCAGGCGCTGCACACTCAGCCAGTTCAGCCGAACCCATCCTGCTGCCTTCTTCCCCGCGGCCGCTCCTCCGGGCAGCACCGTCCGCTCTGCGCTCCGAGGCGGGGACGCACACAGTGCCTCTCCCCTCTCACCCACGCGGCACCCACGCGTTCCTGGTTGGGCCCCTGAAGGTCCCTTCGGTCTGCGCTCCCTTCTCTGTCCCTGTGCCGGTGGTCCCTGCACAGGCCCCACAGCCCCCCGTCAGGGGCGCCCGCCCCCCCTAAGCCACAGCCCCCACCCACCAAGTCTGCACACAGGAGAAATGCAAATCGGGGTGCATATATCTTGACAAATTAGTGTTTTGGGATTTTTTTTTTGATAAATACCCAGAATGGGATTTCTGGGTCACATGGTGGTTCTATTTTTAGGGTTTTTTTTTTAGAAATCTTCATAGTGTTTTCAATATTGGCTGCTCCAATTTGCAGTCCCACCTACAGTGCACGAGGGCCCCTCGTCCCCACGTTCTCGCTGTATGATGCTAAGTGAAATTAGACACAGAAAGGCAGATGTTGCGTGCTTTCACTTATATGTGGAATCTAAAAACAAACAAACAAACAAACAAACAAACCAAAAACAGACTCATGCACACAGAGCCCAAAGATACTGTTACCCAGAGGGAGGGGGCATTGGTGAAAAAGGTAAAGGGGGTATAGTCAACAACATTGTGCCAAGTTTCCATGGTGACAGACGAGAGCTAGAATTAGTGGGGTAATCGCATTGTAAGGTATAAAAATGTGAAATCACTATGTTGTACACCTGACACTCGTATAACGAATATGATAGCGTACACCAACTGCACTTAAATTAAAAATGAATAAATGAAAATAAAATTTAAAAACACTGCTAGTCAGATTACATCATTCTCCTGCTTGAAACTGCCCTGGGGCGCGAACCAAAGCCCTCGAGGGGGAAGGCAGGCCCCCCATCTGCTCCTTGCGGCTTCTCCACGGCAGCTCCTGCAGCGCCCCCCCCTCGCCAGCCGCGCCCCCCCCCCCCATTCAGGCCCAGCTGTCCGGCACACGCCCCTCTCTCCCGGCCCCGCCTCTGCACGTGGCACATCCCTCTGCCCAAACTGACCCTTTCTCTGCCTTCCTGGGGCAGAGGATTCACTCCTCCGGTTGCTGCCCTGACCTCCTCGGGAGGGGCTGCCTGCCCCCTCCCCGCAAGGGCGCCCCAGAACCTCCGAGGACAATTGCTGCCTTGTCTGCACCTCTGCTCCAGAGCAACCCAAGGTCAGGGACATGGTTGGCCCAGCACCGCAGGGGGCTCATAGGAGCCCTTCGAGGAGCGTTTCCCAGCTGGTGTGGGCCGTGAGGAAACGGATGTGACTGGCTGTAAGAGCAGGCCTGCTGAGAGGAAGCCGTTCCCACAGCCCCAGGGTGGCGCTGTGCCTCGCGTGGGAGCTCGTTCTTAAGGCCACAGAACCCAAGTCGGGGTGATGCCCTGGGGCCCCCACACCTGTCCGCAGAGGGACACGGGCCTGTGCTCCGCCTTGGACATGCTGCCTTTGAGTGTGGGAATCACGCCGGCTGTAACATTGGGTGGGCTTCAGAATATATAAGTGCGTCTCTGCCTGTGTTCTGAAACAACCTACGTGGCATTGCATCGTCCCTGCTTAACCGGCCCTTGCCAATGATTAAGGCCGCTTGCTGCACTGCAGACTCAGCCAGTTCAGCCGAGGCACTTCTCGGGTAACTTTGAAAACAGTGAAGAACTTGAGTTCCCTCCACGGTGATGGGACTCACTGTGAAGTTTTCTACGTTTCTTTCAAGTCCCCTCTGAAGTCCCCCGGAAAGCCTCGATCGCCCAGGACCGCCAGGTCCCCGACCCGGAGGTCCTCAAACCCTCGCCCCTGGCTTGACTCTCCTCGGCAAGGGTCAGCCTGTGGCCACACGGCCTGGGTGCCTCAGGTAAGGAAAAGAACCGCGAGGGGAAACGGCTCTGGGCGGGCCGTGACCGGGGGAGGGCCAGGAGTAGCTGCGATATGGAAGCTCTGAGCTGAGGGGACCCTGCAAGGGAGGCAGAGAGCCAAGGCTCTGTCAGCACTAGTGAGCGGTAAGCCACCTGCAACTTCCAGATTTTCCTTTTTTAATTGGCATTGGGGGAACGCAGTCTGCCCCCTGGTGCCCGGAACAGCGCAGGTTCTTCTCCCTCTCTGCCCCAGGACCCAAAGTTCCCCGCTCTCTGTCTCCAGAGGTAGAAAGAGGTGGGCAGGGGCACATGGCTGTTCCCAGCCCCCATTCTGCAGGCCTGAGAGTCCCTCAGGCAGGGGGTCCTGGTGGAGGGGCCCCAGGCTGGGGCTGGGAGGGCTGGAAGGACCAGACCTGGGGGGAGGGAGGAAGAGGAGGGGAAGAGGGAACATGTTGATGGCTACTCCGCTGGGGATACGTGAAAATCCCAAAGGCCACTCATTCCAAAGGCCACTGCTGGTGGACAGAGGCTGGACCGGGAGGCTGGGCACGGGCCCGCCCCCGGGGCCCCTCCTTGGGCCCCGAGCCTCTTCTCCACAAGCCTGGGCACAGGGCTCAGCCCCCGCGCAGCCCCCCGGCCCTCGCCCTGCCAGGAAGGCGTGGGCCTGCTCTTTTATGCTGAGCCCCCGCGCAGCCCCCATGGGCTGTCCCCCCCCCCCCCCCCGCCCACAGCGGGGCTGCGGGGGAAGGCCCGAGTGGCGCCCTCGCCTGGCGGCCTGTGCCAGGAGCGCGGCTGCTTCTGCTCCTGCCCACCCAAGCGCCTGGTGCCGCTCACAGGATGACACACCCTCAGTGCCCGGTGTCCTCTCCTGTTTCCAGACTAAACGTGGGCGAGGTTTGCCTTTTCGGACACTCTCTTCTTGATCGATTCTATTGTTTCTTTCCAGTTTCTTGTTTATTGATTGCTGCTTTTCCGGACGCTCTCCTTGGTTCCGTTTGCGAGGCTGCGGTTTGGGCCGTGGGGCTGTGCTCGCAGTCGTGGGCCGCCTGCCGGGTGACCCTGGGGTCCTGCTCTCCCACTCCTCTCCCGCTACTCCTGGAAAGCACCTGCGAACCGCCTCCCCCCCGCTGGGCGCTGCGCTCCTCGGCTCTCAAACGCTCTCGGCTGCATTGCTCACCTTCCTCCTGAAGCGGGTTTTGGTTTTCAGAGGAGCTGGGCCTCCCATTGATACACCCCTCTCCTGCCCCTGGTTTTGGGGCACTGAGTCAGAGATCAGAGCCCGAACACTGTGTGCTGTATAAAACTCACCCCAACTTTCTTTAGGACCTAAAGGACTTTTGTCATTTTTGAGTGTCCTATGATCCTGCAAAATGGAAGCACAGATTTTTCTGTGGGGCAAGGAGGAAATTACGTCACCACTAATTTAACTTTATTCATGATATCATTAGAAACTTTTGTGCCCATTAAGATGTACCATGTGCGAGGCCTTGGAAAGGGCTGGGTGCCCACCGGCGCCTGCTTGTGCTGGTGTGCGATCTGCTGGGCTCTACGCTCTTGGAGGGTCTGCGCGGGTTGGCCCCCGGCTGCGGCCACCCCCTCCCTCAGAGACACACCCCCAAGTGCGCGCACGGGGGTCCGAGGGCTCGTTTCTGGAGGTCACTGTGCCAAACGAGCCCTTCCCTGCCACTTGGACACTGTGGGCCCTGCAGGCTGTGTGCGGTGGAATTCTGTCACGTGAAGACCACACCTGCGGGGCTTATCTTATTACGATTTGATTTACGACGCACCGATAAGGCGGACCACGGATGCTCGAATTCAGGTGCCAGGCCTGGGAGCCCGACCCCCGGGAGCCAAATGCCTCTGGCCACTCACCCGGCACGGCTGCGCTGTGCTGAGCCACAGGGTCCCCCCGCCACCCCATCTCTGGGAACAGAGATGTCACAGCCCCACCCCCCCCCCCCCCCGGGCCCCCCGCCCCGGTCCTGGCACTGAATGAGGTGACGTGGGTCAGTGCCCCTGAGCCGCCTGGCACAGCTCCGCGCTCAGCCCCAGCTGGCAGGCACGTCAGGCGCCTCCTTTCCTCACATCTCCCCTTGCTGGCACCCCGTTCTTGCCCACCTCAGGTCACGGGAGGGGTGCTCCCTTCCCCTGACAAAGCCTGCACTGACCCCTGCACATGTTGGGAGAGGCGGGCCCAGTCTGACAGCGGGAGGAGTGGGGAGGGCGCGAGGCGCTCGCGGCAACAAGAGGCAGCTCCGGACGAAGACGCGGCAGCGGGGGAAGTGAGCGCAGGTCGCGGTGTTTCAGGTGCTCTGGCAGCCGGGGCCTTGCTGACCCCGGGGAGCTGCCCTCCCAGGGGAAGCCAGGTCCTAGAGGCACCAAACACCGCACTACGGAGCGCGCGTCACAGATGCAAACCCCGCGACCCGAGTCCAGCCCCAGGCAGCTCCTTGCTCAGCGTCTCACACTCGGGCGCCCTCCCCGCCCTGAGCAGCCCGGCCGGGCACCGCCCGCAGCCCACAGCTGCTGAAACTGTTCACAGTGGCCGGTCCCCTGCTGCTGCCCCGCCCTGCCCACGGTTGCTGGTGGAGGTCACAGGAAGGCCCTCCCCCCAAGACCCCACTCCACCCCCTGGGACCCGGGACCACCCGGTGCTTCCCCAGGTGCCCTGAGGGGCCATATCCGGGAGGGACGGGCCATCTTTTCCACGGCAGTCACCGCCGGACCTGTCGGCCTCACTGCGCCAGGACAGTAACGAAACCCACAGCTGAACACGAGGGGTGAATGGAGGGCAGGAGGCCGGGGTGGCTCCCGAGCCTGCCTGTCTCGCGGGAAGCAGGGCAGCAGGGGAGGGCGCCTGCCCCCACGCAGGGCCCACTCACCTTCCCGTGGCTCAGCAGGACTATCCGCACCAGCACCACGTTGATGTGGGCCCCCAGGGACTCGTCGTGGTAGATTTCATTGACCTAAAAGACCACCAGGGAGAGGTCGTCAGCTGGCATCTCAGGCCCAGCACCCGCCCTGGCTCTGCCTGCCCACGACGTCACCTGCCCAGTGCCCGCACCCCTCCCTGGCTCCCCCAATCCTGGTGTGCACCGGGCATCACCGCTGTCGGGGACGAACCCTTCCCTCCTCTGCGCCACCTGCCCGGCAGCCCCCGCAGTGCGGGAGGACGGCCACCCCTCCTCAGTGCCCCGCCTGCCGGCAGGCCGTTCGCCACCTGCGGCCGGGGCTTGGACACCGCTCCATCTGGGCTCGGCCCCTCACTGCACGCAGCCTTTCCTTCGGGGCTCCGGGGGCAGGGGCAGGGACAGGGCCGGCACTGCTGCCGGCGGGAATCAGTCTGCTGTCACTGCCGCCGCCGGTGGCGAGTGTCGCCCACACTTGCCACTGTTGGGAAGAGGGGGGTCTGTGTAGGCCCAGCCCGGAGCTGACAAGGTGCCGGTCAAGGGTGGACCCCGCCCTGAAATGGAGGCCCTTCCTGTGCTCGGTCGGTGCCTGCAGTGCGTCACTGGCTCCCTTCCTGCTCTACCGCTGGCGTAGGCATGTTTCATTTTTTGCATTGAAGAACATTACTCTGAGCATGTGCTCATGGGCATCACCAGATGTCAAAGGGTTCACGGCACAAGAAAGAGAAGGGGACCCCACTCCCCACAGCACGGGTGCAGGGCCTCGTGGGAACACTGGCCGGGTGGCCCCTGGTTCGGCTGGCGCCGACTGCTGCACACCCGCTCAGGGTCCCGCCTGGGACGGCCCCTTGCTGCCACCCTCTGCGCTGGCCAGCAAACCTCTGCTCCAGACGGCCTGCCCCTGGCCACTCCCTCTCAGAGGGCCTCCCAGGTCTGATGCGCCCCTTGGCGTGTGCCGGGTCCAGTGCTTCCCCAGTCTCTGTGTCCCCCACAACCATGGGCTGTAGTCCCCAGCAGCACCCAGCCAGTGCTCAGATCCTGAAAGAACGGACCCACTCAGGCCGGGGCTGAGTGGAGGGAGGCGTGAACTGCCTGCACCCATGGCCGCGTGCGCTCAGGGCCCAGGGGCTGCCGACGGCGCCCTGTCAGGACAGAGCCCGCCTGCCCGCCAGGCCAGCGCTGCCCCGCTCCCAACCCCAGCCTGCGCAGTCTCCGTCTGAGCAGCAGTAACTGCTACCCGTACAGAGCAGAAAGACCCTTCGGGAAATCTGAGGGTTAACAAGGAGACTCAAACACTGACAGATCAAGCACTGTCCCGGCCCTGCCCCTGGGAAGTGGGGCTGGCAGACCTACAGGAGCACCTACGTCAGGCCTGCCTCCCTTAGCGTCCCCTCTGTAGAACAAGGGACAGTCCCCACTGCACAGAGCTGCTCCGGACTGAATTTGCACATGCGAGAGAAGGAATGGCGGTGAAATGGTAAAACGCTGGATTTGTCCCTGCCGGTCGCTCCTGCCGCCTGCAGGCCCCCTGGGGTCTCAGGGTGGGGTGCACACCCCTGAAATGCAGACAGCCTGGCCCAGCTTTGAGGGTCAAACTAGGTATTTTAGTCCACAGCAAGACAATAGCCCTACCAACCAGTTTTTCTCAAGAGAGAAAGGGGTTTTTTGTCTTCAAAGTAGCCGCTTTATCTATTACCAGCAAAACTGGCCAACTTGGCTCCTGGAGCTTGACTGAAATACAGAAGGCAGGCAGTGACAGAGGGAGGGCCCCGGGCAGCCGGCGGGGGTGGGGGTGGGGGAGGGCAGGGGCAGGAAGGGGCGAGGGCAGGACAGGGATGGTGAGAACCGGCCTTGATCTTGGAGATGATGCAGGAGGAACTTGAACTGCCGCCCCCACCTGCTGGCTGGGGACTGGGGGACTGGCTCACATTTTGGGGTGGCTTCAGAGAGGAGAAATGGAGACACGAGAAGCTTCAGCAGCAAGAGGCCTGTAAGGGCTGCCAAGCTCCCAGCTATGTAGGGGGGACCCAGGGACAGTGAGCAAGATGGCTGGGAACACAGCTGGGCCTCAGAGAGCCCAGGGGTGCTGGCCAGCAGGAGGGGAGTCCGCAGCAGAGAGCACAAAGCCCGAGGGACCCAACCCACAGGCCTGCAGCCTGGAGGGCTGCTGCTCAGAGCAGGCTGGGACAGACGTGTGCAGATGCAGGGTGGCTGTGCCATGCACGCACCCCCACCCAGAGGGAGGGGGGACAAGTGACAAACAGCCCTGCTATGGACTGACTACGTCCCCCAAATTCATATGTTGAAACCCTGACCCCCGTGTAATGGGAGGTGACGGGGGTTAGATTTGGCCACGTGGGTGGGGCTCCCCTGGTGGATTAGTGCCATTGTAAGAGTCGCCTGAGAGCTGTCGCTCTCTGCCACGTGCGGACCTGGCAGTAGGCGGCTGCCTGCAAGCCGGGGTGAGAGCCCTCACGAGGAACGCATCGGCGGGGCCTCCAGCCGCCGCACTCTACGCTGCACAGCGGCGCGCTCCTCCCAGGCAGGCTTCCAGCGGGCTGTGTTCTGGTCTCGCTCGGTGATGCTCGCGCCTCCCAGCGGTGGCCGGGCTTTGGGGCGGCCCCCACCTCATAGTCCCTCCAGAGCGTTCCCCGTAGCCCTGAGGTCAGGCCCCAGCCACCCCCTCCCAGAGGCAGGACCCCCCCAGAGACCACCGGCCTGGGCAGTGTGGTGTGGGAGAGACCCAGCCTAGCGATGAGGTCCCCCTTCGGGGCTGGCTCCCAGCCCCCACGGCGTGCTGAGCACAGGGCCCCGCTGCCCCGTCCTCCGCTGGCCAAGGGGTGGCCCCGCCTGCCCCCCACGGCCATGCCAGCTTTCCAGGGGCTGGGAAAATTCCATCTGCCTCCCTCTCCCCACAGGTGCTGCTCAGGTGCAGCTGCAAAGCAGGAAGCCTGCGGCGCCCACGTGGCTGTGAGAACCACTGGGAATAATGCGTAAAATTTCCAGCAAAACAGGCACATCCTCACTCAGGTACAACATTTCTGCGGACCAGAGAGCTGAGAGACGTGGCAAAAGGGGACCCTGAAGGCGGATGGGGCCGCCCGAGGCCTCGCTCACACCGTCCTGCTCCCCATTCCCGACCTCCCCTCCCCGGCGGGCAGGAGGCACAGAGCCCAACTGCTCCGGTCCCCTGCACGCCACCCTTCAGCTCTCAGGCACCACTGGGAGCAGACCCGACCTCCTCCCTCTGGCCTACACCCTCAAGGGCACCCTCAAGCGCAGGCCCTCCAGGCCCTCGGGGCGGCCCGGCTGGCTTCTCTGCGATCCACTTCCGCGGCTTCCCTCCAAGAACCCGTGGCCCCGCAGCTCCGCCTTCCTGAAGCCCTGCAGCCTGTCCTGCCGCCTGCGCAAGGCTCGTGCCTGGAATTCCCTCTTCTTGCCAGCTGCTGGGTTCTTGAAATATCTGAAGGGCATTCAAGAATCAAAGTCCAAGTAATAAATGCATTTCAAAGGAGGGGGGCATTTACTGCCCTGCTTAACCCCCTGCCTCCACCCCAAAGCCCTCGCACTGCAACTGGGATAAAGTGAAAACGCCGCTGCGTCTTGTCAGGTGGGCCCGGCCTGGCTGGACCCAGCAGCGGAGCCCGCCCCCGCCCGGGGCTTTGGTGCTCGCGGGGGCCCCCTGGCTCTGCATGCTCTCCCCTCAGCATACCCGTGCCCTGCTCGGAGCACCTAAAACGCCCGCTGGGGAGTTGCTCCTAGAACTGACAATTACTGGGTACAGGAGGCACCTCTCTTACTTGCTCACCGCGGTGTCCCCAGCAGTGTTAAGCGCACCGCACCGTAGGCGGTCAGCGAAGAGCTTTAAATAAATGGAGGAGGGGATAGCTGTAGAGACTGCGGGCCAATAGGAAATGGGCAAATGTGTGAGAGCAGAGGGTCACCGAGGCCCTGCAGTGGCCTGGGCCGCAGGCAAGGGCCCCAGCGCCTTGTGCCCCCGCGCCGCCCCGAGGCCTGCGTGCGGGGGCGCTGCTGTCCTCAGCCCGACCGCAGCGGGCAGGCTGGGACAGTGTCCTTGAGCCTGGTCTGAGGAATTGATCCAGGAGCCTTGAAACCCGGGGGGAAACACTCATCGCGGCAGCCCTTCCTGCATGGACAGCAGCCAAGGACTCTCGCTCGGGAAAGCACATTGTAATGCTCCCTTTGCTTATGAAAAGGCGCAGCCAAGTTTCTGCTCTGGACTAGGCACTGAGCTGGGACCGGCTCTGAGTGACAACGTGAAAGCCGCCCTTCGCTGCGGGGGGGCTCTCTTCTGCCCTGTGCAGCTGCGAGCCCGGGCCCAGCCCGGGCTGTCCCCAGGAGCAGCGTTTCAGGGAGGCCACAGCCACCCTCCCCTTCCCCACTAGCCTCAGAGCCTGTGGGGTGCGACCTTCACCCCTGAGATGTGACCTCTGTCACCTGAGTCCAACAAGGCACAGCCATGTCACACAACGCGTCCCCACAGTGATGTTCGTTCCTGCTGTGATTCATATTCTTCTGCGGTTCCACCACCATTTCCACCCAAGGAGAGAGAGAGGGCCGCATGCATCACCAGGACGGTGTCACGCACCCGGGGAGCCCCAGAGATGGGGACGGGGAGCAGGGAGTGCCCCGGTTGACCAAGGAGGGAAGGGAAGGCGGCTGAGCAGAGGCGGGAAGTCAGACCCAGGGTTATGGCCCCCTCCTTGTTGTGGCTCCCACAGCCCTTTAAGGTCAGGCAGATCTGAGGGCTGTCGGCCCTGCTTCCCACTCGGACCCTAAGCAGAGGCCACACAGCACGAGTGGAGTTCACTCCTGACCTGGCGCTAAGTGGAGTGAGGACAGCGAACAGGCCCAGAGGCGTGTGTGGGCTCCAGATGCTCCAGCTGTGCTGGTGGGATGGACGTCGCCGTCCTGGGACTGGGGGAAGCTGCAGAGCGGACCGACCGTGTGGTGCCGGACCTGGCCTGGATCGGGGGCCCAGTGCACCCGAGCAGCCCAGGTAAAGGGCCTCCTCTGCCCCCTCCCCAAAGAGATGA